GTGGTATAAAACTTTCGAATATTATGACTTTTTTACACTGTCTTATTATTATTATTGTTTTTACTAAATATTTTTATTTTTCGTTCAAATTAATAGGAGTAGATATGTCCGCCCCTCTCTCCTGTCTTTTGAACAGGAGTAGAGGTTCATGCCTTGTTTCCTGTTCAGGATTGGGTTTCCGGTTTCCTACTAAAGTCTTTTCGTTCACTATCACGTCCAGCAGACCCCCTTACATTTAGTGGTGCGGTCGATTTGCTTGGGCTGAAGTTTTATTTATGAATCCGACATATTTTTATCCCGGGATTGAAAATTTGCCTTTCATCAGATTCTTGAACATGCAACATTAGGTTGCGTGTCCGTGATGAGGAGGGAAGAGTTAAAAGTCAAATTTTAAAAAAACTGAAAAAATTAGTAATTTTAAAAGTTTTTAATTTATATTCAGTTTAAAGTAACACAAAATCTTAGTGAATTTAGACATTTTTGTTTTAAATTCAGTTTAAAATATCTCCAATACTTTGTGAATTGAGGAAATTATTTCTTCAAAATAACAAGGAATCAGAGTTAAAGTGAGAGGTTTATCGACAGGATGTTTTGAAGTTCCGCAAAGTTTGTGATTTGAAGAACCAGACTCAATTGAAGTTCCGCAAAGTTTGTGATTTGAAGAACCAGACTCAATTGAAGTTTCGCAGAGTTTGTGATTTGAAGAACTCTGTTTACAGTCTGAATAGTTTCAGTCCAAATCGGACATTTGGTCCACATCGGTCTTTTGGCCGGAACTGGCAGCACGAATCAGAGTTAAAGTGAGATTTTGAAGTTCCATAGAGCGAATTGATGAATTCAAAATTATTTCTTCAAAATTATCATTACTGTTTTCTAAGCAGGGCCAGAGGTCCGGTGGCACAATTACCCTCCGTAGCTAGTTAAAAATAAATAAACGGAGTATCTACTCAAATATAAATACCGACAAAAAAAATGATGTTTGAAGTGCACTATATATATATATATATATATATATATATATATATATATATATATATGTGTGTGTGTGTGTGTGTGTGTGTGTGTACAAGATAAACACAAATAATTACTTAATTAAAATTTAAGTTAATTTCTATTAAATACGTTTTATCCTGATTTTTTTGCATACATTATTGAGTATCCTAAGTACAGAACCACTTACTAAATGATCAGAACCACGTACGGTAAAATTGAATACGCGATTATATATATATATATTACTGCGGGTTTTTATTAAATAATATAGATAAGTTTTGTCTATTTATTTTAAGTAAGTTCCTTTCATATTGTTTGATAAGCTTAATCACATTATCGTTGAAAGACGAAAGAAAAACACCATATTGATACATGTTTAAATCCAATCTAAGCTTTCGGCTTACATAAGCCATTATCAATTTCAATAAATCAAACAACACACGGACGAAACAACAATGATAGTATGCCCTTGCTGCATGAAAATTTCCAAGTAACGACAAACTCGTATATACGAGACGCGGAAGCGAAAATCGCGTCGCAGTTCGTGATGTTACACATGACCACGTGAGAGTGAAAAACGAGAAGTATTAAGTATGGGAAGCCGTTGGTATAAACCAATGGCTTCTTTTATAAAATATAAACATTTGAGGATATTTGTGGAGATTTTATAGTTTATTTTGTTCAGGTTAGGTTTCAACTGTTTTATGTATAAAGCTTCAAGAATTTTTAATTTTTGTTTGTTTCATGTTTAAGTATAGTTGTGTTGTTAACAATTATATATATGTTGATATTTTCATCTGGAATCGAATAAGGCCACTCCGAATTTCTTTCTAAAAATTCACCAGTGTTCCTTGACGCAATTCTGACATTCGTAATTTCAAGAATATTGTATGTCTAGATTTGAAACTTGGTCACAATATTTAACACTTTGTTGTGATTTTTGCGCTCGTAATTTGCGTATATTTTTGAGTGTCAATAAAATTGCTTAAATATGAACAAAATGGGATGCAATTTCCATATTTTAACTTTGATGCATTTAAAATAAAAATGATCTAGTGCTATCCTTAACGTCTTTGGTTTCGTTTCTTTATTCAATTACAAATTTGGCAGACTATCCGAAAAAGAAATGGTTAAGAGCTAATAACATGTAATCTGTTTAGAAAAAAAAGGTCAAATCAACATCCAAATCTCTTATTTGCATAGAAAATTATAGAGGAGACAGATTTCAGCTTCATATTTACTTAAGTATCAAATTTGTAAGTGTCAAAATCGAGAAAATTATAATTTTTGCATGACAAGTTGTTCTAGATGATTATGGTTTATTCCCAAACAGAACTGTGTTCATGAAACGAAATTTTGTAACATGATCTTCAGAAATGTAAGAATATGTGGTAAAAATATAAAAGTTTTTATAACATTATAACTTAAAACTCTCTCTTTGTGTCTTTTTTACAAATGCTTTCATGGTAATTGCTCTGATGAGCTGCTTTCGCTGGTTCCCAGACTTCATGAATTCAAGCGTCCTACGAGACTGGCATCCCACTCTCACCCTTGCACTGTTGAAACTGTCAAACGTAGCCGTCTCTTCGATTCCAATAGCTTCATATCTCGCACTCTCGTCTGTGGAACTCCCTTCCTTTTTCCTGTTTCCCTGATAGCTATAGTCTCCCACTTTTCAAATGTAATGTCAATCGACATCACCAATTGTCTTAATCTATACACTGTCCTTCTCCACATCCTTTCATGTATCACTCCTATCTGCTCTCGCTCCAAATCCTCTGTAACCCCTTGCGTGCTAGTGGCTTCCCGCTTTGCTCGGGGTGAAATGCTTAAAATAAATAAATAAATAAATAATTTGCTCAGTCATAAAAATAGGTAATTCTCAGGATGTTAAAACTTCAGGCAATTTTCAAAGAATAATACTATAACGGGATGGAATATAGGCCTACATAAAAATAATCTATTAGACTATAAAAATGAAAGACACCAACGTCCAAATCTAAACAAGCAATATCATTGGAGATATGAATATCAGAATATTAGTGGCCAATTTCTCTTGTAGGGGCCTACTGAGGCACATTTCTTTTGTTTGAATTCAATAAGACTTGCGTGACTGAATTCATGCTCCCTAATTATACTTTATACACACTTTCCACTAATATATATATATGTAAAACGTTTTTAACTATGTGGGTGAAAAAACCTGGATAGAACAATTTTCAAATAAATTGAAAAAAAAAACAGCGAGTAAGTAGTTAAAACAAAGACTACTCAATACACTAAGTAGATCAAAAGTGAAATAAATAAATCCTAATGAGCCATATTCTACCTACCTAGGTTTTCAACACATCATCCAGTTCAGCCTGATGATCCCATGTGGTGAAACCTAGGTAGGTAGTATCTGGCTCATTAGGTTATATATATATATATCCAAGTATAGCAGTGGTGTAGACAGAGTAGATTCCAATAACCAAAAATACTATTCTTAAAAGAGCGCTCAATACAGAGTAGAGCAAATATTATTTATTCAAAAATTATAACATAAACATGTTACACTATGTTTATATTATAATTTTGAATAGAATATATATATATATATATATATATATATATATATATTAGAAAATCACCATCACAACGTGTTACAATAAGTTTGTCTTCACAATTCATCCCTGAGGACGATCTTGGAGGAGATCGAAAGTACTTAGGTTAACAAGAACTACGGCGCCTTCCTTGATGAATTTCAGCTTAACATCAAGAAGCTAACTAAAGAACTAGAAAATATTATTATAAAATAAATAGATATAATATGTCTACATTATTCAAAAGACATGCTGGAATGACGATACGCTGCCTAAACACACACACACACACACATATATATATATATGTAATTATGCAAACTATAGTGGAAACCCGTGTTTGAAGTAGACTTACAGTTTTCTTTTGTTTGTTTTTTTTTGTTTTAACAGTGTGTCTTACGTGTACGGGCGTGAACACTCTAGAAAACTTAAGAAAGGTAATGAGCTCTTTGGCAGATTTAGTGGGATGAAGGTCCTAATCCCGATTGATACGGTGTATTTTAGACTGCTCGGCCACAGCTGTAACGTTCATTGTCACAGCTGTGGCCAGTCTTTTTAAAGCACGTCGGATCTCTCGGCGGTTTCTCCTATAAAGGTGGACACACATTAAAACTCTATCGGAGGGCACATTTTCTTTATAACGTTTTCTAGAATTGCACAGGTATAATACACACTAAAAAGTTTGGGGGCGTTTATTTCACACGCTTGTGTCCACTAAAATAACATTTGAAGTAACAAAAATGTCAGATCAAAAAACAAATTCACACACACACACATATATATATATATATATATATATATATATATATATATATATATATATATAGAGAGAGAGAGAGAGAGATATGATAAGTTGACAGGGTTATATTTGCATTTAGATCCATTTTTAATGTAATGAATTCAGATGAAGCTGATTATTGGGCCATAGATATGAGCCACACGCCTTAACCTATGCATGCTAAAAACATGCTAATTCCAAATTTTAAATAAGGGAAATGCTTCTTTTTTTTTAAATTTTCCTTTAAAAGAAATAAAGAATTTCCTCCATCTTTTAAAGATCGTAAGACCTGGAGCTATTTTTTTTTAACGCGGAATAATCCTTGGCCGTTCAAACATTCTCTTTTAAAGAGCGATAACCACAGAAAGAAACACTGATTAATGAAACTCGTCCGGGTAGCACCGCGGGGCAGGTTTCAAATCTCTGTGTTCCTCATTCGATGAGGTTTAGTTATATTTTCACTTCCCGCGCCGTGAAAAAAATCGTTAGGTATATGATGAAAGGATTACAGCTTAAGGCTGAGTTTTGGTGTGATATGATAGGCGGCAGAAAATTTTGAAAGATTGTAAAAAAAGCTGTTGAATTTGTTCGACAACATCTGATTGGTGGTTCTTTGCTGATGAAGGCAAAAAAAAAAACTTTTGAAATCAGGAGAAAAGAGAAAAAAATGAAGAAAAGGAAAGACAAAAAATGTAAGTAAGAAAGATAATGTAAAATAAGTAAAAGCTTTGCGCAAGAAAGACAAAAATGTATAGAAGAGAAAAATGAGCTGCGAAATAAAAGGAAGAAAAAAGAAAGAAAAGAAAGAAAAGAAAGAAAGAGGAAAGAAAAAAAGAAAAAGAAGAAAAGAAAAAGAAGAAAAGAAAAAGAAAGAAAAGAAAAAGAAAAGAAAGAAAAGAAAAAGAAAAGAAAGAAAAGAAAGAAGAAGAAAGAAAAGAAAGAAGAAAAGATAGGAGAAAGAAATGAAAGAAAAGAAAGAAGAAGAAAGAAAAGAAAGAAGAAAAGATAGGAGAAAGAAATGAAAGAAAAGATAGGAGAAAGAAAAGAAAGAAAAGATAGGAGAAAGAAAAGAAAGAAAAGATAGGAGAAAGAAAAGAAAGAAAAGATAGGAGAAAGAAAAGAAAGAAGAAAAGATAGGAGAAAGAAAAGAAAGAAAAGATAGGAGAAAGAAAAGAAAGAAAAGATAGGAGAAAGAAAAGAAAGAAGAAAAGATAGGAGAAAGAAAAGAAAGAAGAAAAGATAGGAGAAAGAAAAGAAAGAAGAAAAGATAGGAGAAAGAAAAGAAAGAAAGAAAGATAGGAAGCAGAAAAGAAAGAAAGAAAGAAAAGAAAGAAAGAAAGATAGGAGAAAGAAAAGAAAGAAAGATTAGAAGAAAGAAAGATAGGACAATGGAAAGATAAAAAGAAATGAAAGAAAGATAAAAAAGAAGAAAGAAAGAAACAAAAAGAAAAAAGAAATGATAGAAAGCTAAAAAAAGAATGAAAGACAGAAAAAAGAATGAAAGAAAGAAAGTGATAAAGAAAAACAACAAAAAGACTTCTAATGGAAATAAATTTCATTGAAATGGAAACTTTCTCATTTTCTAGAAAATGAAAAAGCAATCGCAAAAAGAAAATGCGATTGGAGAAATAAAAAAGAAAAGATAGAAAGCAACAATACATTTAACAGAAAGAAAGAAAAAAAGAATGAGAAAATCGGTAGAAAAAGTAAACAAACATTTATAATAGAGAGAGAGAGAGAGAGAGAGAGAGAGAGAGAGAGAGAGAAAATGTGACAAAAAAAAAGAAGCTAAGAAGGAAAACAAAACATTGTTAATGGAAAGAAAGAAATGCGAGGAAAAAGAAAATGTGAATAAAAAAAATCAGTAGAAAGAAAGAAAGAATTAAAAAGAAAAAACATAGAAGAATAGGAGAAGAAAGGCGCAAAGAAGCTTAATAAAAAAAAAAAGAAAAAAATAGAGAAAGAAAGAAACAAAAGGTACACTAGAAAAAAAGAAGAAGTGAGAAAAAAGATTTGCCAAAGAAAGAAAAGATTTAAGAAAAAGAAAAGCAAGAACAGAAAACAAAAACAAAAATTCTGCAATGGAAATGTAGATAGATAGATAAAAATGCAAGACAAAGAAAGAAAATGCAAAAGAAAGAAAATGCAAACGTAGAAAGAATAAATGAAGATGCAGCAGAAAAAGAAAGAAAATGAAAGAAAGAAAATGAAAGAAAGAAAAATGAAAGAAAAATGAAAAAATAAAATGTAATAGAAGAAAGAAAGAAAGAAAAAAATTACTTTTAACACTTGCAATAGGAAGACTTTAAGAAATAAACAAAGAGAAAAAGAATGAAAATTACAGGCGAAAAAAAAAAAAAAAGGACGGAACCTAAATAAAAGAGTGAGTGAAGAAATTGAAATTAATTTTTGGGAGGCAAAAAAAAAAAAAAAAAAGAAAATGAAATAAGAGAAGACAAAAAAAAAAGAAGATACACAGAAAAAAAAATATAAAAAATGGCGCAATGAATGAAAGAAAAATGGCTGTCAAGACAATTCGTAGAATGGGGAGGTGTTGCCTTAAAAACGGACCTCTCCGGTTCGTTAAAGCTTGAGACAATAATCATTGATAACTTGTATAGAATGTAATCCGCTTTATACATTTTGTCAAAAAATTTCTTTTAGTCTTCATATTTATGCATTGAAACAATCTGATATTAAATGTAAAAGTTCCAAAAATAAATTCATGAACAAGACCGACGGCAATTTTTCATCCTTTTTTAGTTAAAATGGCTAGATATGATCGTAAGTTCTATACTAATAGTTTCTTTTTCTCGCACTTCTCGCTTGGGGAACTCTCTGCCAGTTTCTTCCTTTCAAGCAAATTTTGACCTTCAAAAGTTTAAATGAAATATCAATCGTTATATTCTTCCTTCTTAGTTCCTGTCATTTTGTTGTTCTCTTTAAGAATGTTTTTTCTTATTTTATTTCGTACTCAATAATCTCTTGCGTCTTAGTGGCTTTATTGCCTTGCTTGTATTGAAATGATTACACCCCACCCCTAAAAAAAAAACAACAAAATAATAATAATAATAAAAATAGGGACGTTGGTATAATAGAAAACTACGGGCTGATTAAAATTGTTATTGACATCTTGTGATTGTATGTACAACGTATGGATCAGTAGGAACGAACAATCATCACAGGAACAAAATAATGCAATGATCAACATATATCCCATATCAACTACACAATGAACACCTGATGACGACCAGAGGTTACTTGGTCGAAACCTTGTGTCTATAACATCTATAATAATTAAGGTGAGAACAGTATTCCCTTACAAATGAAATTAATTATAGTGGCTATTCCTCATGTAAAAAACAAAACAAAAAAACAAATGCAATTCAAATTATACAAAAACGACACTAAGTCGCCATAATAGACTAAATATCAAAATCATCTTCATCTGACATTGAATATAAAGGTTTCAAAAGTACAACTCCTATTTCTTTACCGTAGTAGAGATAGGAATTGGTTAAACATGTATAACCGTCGCGTGTTTAATTCCTGGAATTGTCCAATGGTTGTTTTTAAGCGTTGAGATAGTTCAAAAGCGTTTGCGCGCATTCGTAAGTGAATGGTTCAAACACGACTGGAATTCGAAATCGACTCTCCGAGTTCCCATCCCGAACAGCTGCACATTACACCATCCACGAGAAAAGGGAGAAGCGAAGATGGAATAAAATTAGGATGAACGAAAACATTAAAAGAGAATTTTAATAAAAAAAGATTCATATTTTCTGTTCTCCCCCCAAAGAACTCCTAATTGCATGAGGACCAAGTTACAAAGGGCGTTGAAAAAAAAAAAAAAAAAAACCGTTTTTTTTTTTTTTTTTAAGCAGAAGCTTGGACAGAAGGAGGAAACGATGTTTGGCTGTTGACGGCTGTCAACTGTTATCAAAAAATTAATGATAAGCTTATTTGTGCCCTCGCCGAATGCTGGCAATTAGGACCGACGCACGCAGAGAAATACGGACGGAATGGAAGGGCCATCTGGTTGTAGCAGTGCGGCCTTAAGTCTGGTGGGGGTCCAACATACCTACTGAAGTCCTGTACACCAGTCGCATAGTTCTGTAGACCGTACGGTGCCAGATGATGTATTTGGTAGCAGTGTGGGAAGAGTGAAGGTTCTTGAATTTCACTTTTGGTTCTTCAAATGTGAGACGGTTATCATATGCCACGTCCAAAGAACAAGTGGAACAACAAATAAAGCTATAACAACAACAACAACAAGACCAGCAGCAACAACAATAGTAACAACAATAACAACAATAGTAACAACAACAATAGTAACAACAACAACAATAGTAACAACAACAACAACAATAATAATAATATTATCTGCACGGAGTTCATCAGAAATCAGTCAGTTATGTGCCACATGTGATACACCCTTAAGCGATCATGTATCTTTCGATACATGACAGACGAGGCAGATTTTTTTCCCGTAGTAAGTTGCCATTTCTTTCTACGGTAGACCAATTGTCATCCAAAGCTATAGAACCCGGTCTGTCCTGTTATTTACCCATAGCTGGGGTTGGGGGGAGGTCGAAAAGAGGATTTATATCTTTCCCAACGATATTAGCACGTAATTGAATTTCAGTCAGTGATGTGCCATGCGTGATACTCGCTTAGGCGATTATGTATCTTTCGATAGATGACTGAAGAGGCAGATTTTTTCCTGCAGTAGGTTGCCATTTCTTTCTGCTGTAGATCAGTTGCCATTCAAGGCTATAGAACCCGGTCTGTCCTGTTATTTAACCATAAGTAGGGGTGGGGGAAAAGAAGAGAATTCACATCTTTCCCAAGGATATTAGCATGTTAGTGAATTTCAGTCACTTATGTGCCATGCATGATACCCACTTAAGCGATCATGTATCTTTCGATACATGACTGACGAGGCAGATTTTATGCTATTTACCCATAGCTGGGGGTGGGGAGAAGAGGATTCATACCTTTCCCAAGGGTATTAGCACGTAGGTGAATTCCAGTCAGTGATGTGCCATGCGTGTTACACGCTTAGGCGATCATGTATCTTTCGATACATGACTGACAAGGCAGATTTTTTTTTCCCGTAGTAAGTTGCCAGTTTTTTCTGAGGTAGACAAGTTGCCATCCAAAGCTACAGAACCCAGTCTGTCCTTAGCTAGGGGAGAAGAAGAGGATTCATACCTTTCCCAACGGTATTAGCACGTAAGTGAATGTAATGGATTCGACTGGAATTCGAACTCGGCTCTCCAATTCCACAATCTGATCTGCTATCCATTACTCCACAGAAGAGTGAAAATTAAATGTTATTAATGATGGCTCAAAGCAATACCATAATAACCAATTACGTATATAAAAGCAAATATAGGATAATATATAACGATGGAATAAAGGAATTTTCATAAGTATTTTGCAGTTCTCTTATATGACGGTGAATCCTGAAGAATCTCGTTACAGATGAAGAAAATTGAAAGATGCTGAGAATACCATGGACCGAATATGCGAGCAACGACGGAGATCTAGAGACAATGGAAACAAAAAGGATACCTATAGTTAACACCAAGAAGAAACAGTTGAAATTTCTGGCGCACATAATAAGGAAAGAAGGTTTGGAAAATTTGATGCTCACATGACAGATTGAAGAAGGGGAGACACAGAGGAAACCAACGCATAATCTACCTGGCAAACTTGAGTGAGTAGACGGCAGAGAGATAGCAAAAAAAGAAAAAAAAAAGACAAATTTTCTTAAGAGCTACAAGGGAGAAGAAATTATGGAAAGCCATAATCGCCAACGTCCTTAAGAAATACGGCGATCACGTCGCGGAACGCACAATGAGTTTATCTATTCGTTAAATATGAGACATCAGAAAATTCAAATAGGAAAACGGTGAAAATTACACGGGTACTGATTGTAATAATAGTCTTATATTTTAAGGCTAGACGAGACACGTCGTTCATAGCTTCAGTCCTTCACTGATTTGCGATGTTAGCGTGTGCTTATTCTAACTTGATCAATAGAGATGGTTACACCAAATATCTTGTTGGACGTCATCTAGGGGCTGACATACTTGACATCCCTGTTAATAGCCGGATGTCACTGTAGGTTTTTTTTATATTTGAAGGACGATCCAGTTAAGGGAACCTGGGAGTCACATTTAGGTACTTGGGAACATTCTCAATCGGAGATCGTCTTAGTGCTCTTGGTTAGCTGACAAAGGTTATGTAAGATATACTCTTGTCATAGATGTCATGATGGTTATATCGAGCTTTGTATATTTATACCTCAGCGCCACTGTTGTCGCACCTCTCTTTCTTTCTATATCAATCAATCAATAATAGATATATCAAAATCTGGCAAGGCAAATCAGAGCAGCTGATGTTGTCCATTTTGTGGTTGGTACACTCGGGACTATTTCCAGTGATCTTTCAAGATACCTTGGGAATACCTGACATAATTAAGAGTGCGCAAGTGAAGCGGCTCATGTTCTGAGGAAAGTGCTGTATCTTGAAGCTACTATTAGGAGATAATGATGATAATAATAATAATAATAACAATAATAAGGATCACTTTTGATGAGCAGGAGTGGTTGGAAAGAAACATAGCCATATATCAAGAATCGAGTGTCCTCATATATCTGAAGAAACTGCGTTACTCGCGTTGTAGGCATTTCAAGCTGGGCACCAACTATAATATTCACTGCTTTTATCAAAATTCGTCAGAATATGGCGTACATTTGGCTGTGATACATGCGTATCAAACGAGGTGTTATGATGAGAATATTAGGCATCGTATATTTGTACCTAAGCGCCACTGTTGTCGTTCCTCTTTCTAAATCAATCACTCAGTAATAATAAGTATTAGTATTAATAATAATATCTTACTAAATTGCATATATATAGTTGTAGAATGGATATCCGGTGTCTTCTAACTTGAAGGTCCACCTTGGACACGGACACGTAACCATTGATTTCATTGAAAGAACCATCTGGTTTAGCCGTTAACCAGTCTAGGAAGCCCTCCGCCCAGTGATGTCGTTTTATCACCGAACAAGCTGTATATATACCTATGAAACCCAGTCTAATCCACTATGTTAAATGGCCTACAAAAAGCTTCATTGGTTCTTTGATAGGTTTGAAACGTGACCGTTGATTCCATGAGGGGAACCTTCCGTTCTGGCTGTTGACTTTAGTCTAGGAAGCCCTCTACTCAGTGTTGTCGTTTCAACACCCAACTAACTACATGTATAGCTATGGAGGTCAGTTTCATCCATTGTGCTAAATGGCCTACACAAAGTTTCATCCGTCCTTTGATAGGTTTGAAACGTGACAATTGAAATCATCGGGGGGAACGTTCCGCCTTGGCCGCTGACTTCAGTCTAGGAAGCTATCCGCCTGTCATCACCGCTGTGGTTTCATTCATAGCTAACGAACACACCCGATTCTACTAGATGACTGTTGATCCTGCAAAGAGGTTCATTTATCCTTTATTTTTATTCCTGATGGTTGTTTATCCATCCTCGGATCCAGAAAAGCCTGGTGCGGGGACCGGTGTATTCGCCGATGACCTGATCATGTGGCAGATCTTATTTGGTTATATACTTCCAGTAGCCTTCGTACAGTGACCTGACATGAGATATACAAATCAAAGCATAATGTTAAATGTATCGTATGCAAATATATATGTATATATAAAATTGTTTATCGTGAAGGAGAATAAAACATGGTACCATTACCCTGGGTAGGACATCTTATCGTTTGTATTTAATGGTGGGATCCTTTCCGAGCAGACTGCGGGTGTAACTTGCTTGCTAGAATCACAGTGCGTCTAATTGCTATCTTGGAAAGGGTATAGTTTCTCTTTTTTCATTTTGCGAGTTATTCTATATTTCCCCCACTCGACACATAGACAATCGTTGAACACTTGCGTTAAGTATACGCTTGAGCTGAGAGAAGTCTTTTAATACTAAAAGTGGATCAATATTTTATGTTATTACGACGAAACTGTTATTAAACAACGGGGAAAAAGAAGAGAAAAACAAAGACGATTCTCCGTCCTCAAGCTGCTAAGATGTACGTGTCGGAGATCAGAGATCAGAGATCAAATTTGTGAGATCAACTTTTGATCTTGTGAAACAGTGGAACTGATACCTGATACAAGTGGTCACTTGAGTCTGAGCTGGCAAACGGCCATACTGTTTCTCGCTCTCCAACCCGTATACTTCTCTCTGTAGACGTGTTCGTTCATCGAGAAGGTCCTGTGGTCAGGTAGCTAAAACGTGTCAATGTGTAGCATCCTAAGTGAAACTAGCCTGTTGCTTTGTCCAGCATTCATGCCCATCAGGCAATAAGATAAGAAGTAGTGATAAAGCAATTGGTCGTAAGATATAAAACATGTTGTAGACAACAATAATTTATAAAGAAACATGGTATTCAGTTTGAGAAGTAAGAAATGTATTCAGAAGTAAATAAAAGGTGGCATTTCGGAAATATAATGGCAGGATCTGCCCAATTTCACTCAGGGCCATTTAAATGCAATCGCTTCTTCTATTCTAATAGCTTTTTTCTCTCACACTTCTCATCTGTATAAGTTCTTACCAAATTCTTGCTTCCCCACCGTCTACAATCTTCAAATGTTAAATGCACTGTCCGTCGACATAATCTTTCTTCCGGAATCTTGTTTCTTTATTGTCCTTTCCTCATTGCTTTTTACTAAAATCTTCTTATTCTCTTTCACTCCCGGCAACCCATTAGGTCTTAGTTGCTTTATTGCCTTGTTTGGGTTGAAATAAAAAAAAAAAAAAAAAAAAAACGAATGATAATATTAATATAAAAAACATAACATGAAAAAGTGCGGTTAAAAATGACGACATATTTTGTTGATTGATTTGTGTTTTACGGCTTAAGGGCCTTTTGCGGGTTACTAATAGCCGGAAAATATTTTTAGATTTTAAGAATTTTTTGCTAGATAATATTTTTTTTTTTACTGATATAAGTTCTACTAATTA